CTAGTCTTTTAAGTCTTTCTAAAATTCAATTTAAGATATAATTTGTATGTATAGCTTCTTCTTGTGTTTGGGTTTTGAGTTCTGTTATTTCTCTTCTGTATGGTTTTTCTTCTTTTTCAAGTAGATTTGTATGTCTTGTTTTGTTTTTTGTATTTTAATTTTGTATACTACTTCTGCTTGCTGCTGCTTAATTCTTTATTCTTTTATTTTATTCTCTCCTTCTTTTATTTGTATTTAGCTTGAATTCTTGTTCTTCTTTTTGGCTATTGCTCTTTTCTGTATCAGAGATTTGGTTAAACCTTTTCTAGCTTCTTTCTTTTTCTTCTTTAAGGTCTTTTGTTCATTCTATTTCTCTTCTTTCTTCTTTTACCCAGTATAGTTGAAAATTATTATATATAAATAGTTTTGATTGGGCTGCTTTTATATCCTCTTCTGTTGCAAACATGACTGTTGCTGTTCTTCTTTGATTTCCATTTCTATTTGAAGATATATGAACTGACTTTACTTCTTTGTTCTTTAAACTTTATAGTAATAAGACTTCTGAGATGCTTCCAGGTAATTCTGTTAATTTTATTGTATAATTTCTTTGTCTTTCTTTAGCTTCATAGTTTTCAATTCCTTTAGTTACTCATACCAGTTTGTTGCTATTCACTGGTATGGCCTATAGAATGTCTTCATATGTTTCTTTAGTCTTAACTATTGCTAAGGCCTTATATTTTAATCTTTTAATTTTTACTATATAGGCTTTTCTGAATCTTCTAAAAATGTATTCTACTTCTTTTTTGTTTATATTTGTTAGTAGATTCCAAATTATCAGATAATCCTTGTCTTCAGATTCTTCATTTATTTTATATTGGTTTTCATTTGTTTTAGTTTTATTCTCTTTCCATTTCTGCTTTTCTTCTTTAGTTCTCATTTTGCTATTACTTCTCTTTTGATATTTCTCATTATGTTGTATCTGCTTCTTTATGCTGCCTTCTTTTTCTTTAGGTATTATTTTATACTAGTTACTCTCCTTCTTGCTAATTCTTTATATTGCTGCATTTCTGCTATATTTGCAATCAAAATCTACTTCTATTCATAAGTTTTCTCTTTTAAAAACTTCTCTAACATCTTTGACATGTGCATTGTTTCTTAGTGATCATCTAATAAATTTCATATGCTCTTTTTTTGTTTTTTCTAATACATTGTATGCTGATATATTCACAAGCAGATTGTTGTCTTGGTTACAGTTTCTTTTGCTTGAAGCCCATATACTTTCTTCTAGAAGTTCTCCAACTATATCAATTTCTTTTTTGATTTCTCTTTTAATAGCTTCTTGTTCTTGCTCTTTCTTTTGTACTTCTGTATCTTTTTCTTATATAAATGAAATTTCTTTTTCTTGATTATTGTTTGTTAAACTTACTTTTTTTTCCTGATTTCTGTTTGCTTCTGTTGACTGTTGATATACCTCTTTCTGTTTGTTTTGTGTTTGTTTATTATAGGTTCTTTTACTATAATATTCTTGTCTTGTTTCTTAATATTGATCTTTTTATCTGGCTGTTCTTCTTCTGTTTTTTTTGATTATTTCTCTTATTATATGCAGCAAGACAACCTCTAATGCATCTTATTCTGTTAACATAGCTACAATCTCATCTTCTCTGTCTAGTATTGAAATGATTTTACTAGCTTAATTAAAAAACACTTTGTTGTATATACTATTTGCTACCTAATATGCTCTTTTGATATAAGTTGTCATTAGGCTTTCTTTTCAATTTTGTGTGCTACTCATATTTTGCTTAGTTATTAGTAGCCTCTATTTACTATTTGTTCTAGAACTTTCTATGTCTTATGCTTATTACTATTCAAATTGGATTTGTTTGTATATCTGTCACTACACATGTTTGTTTGTTTATCTATTTATGTGTTGCTGTGATTTATGAATCAACATTTTTAAGTTACAGAGAATTTTCCAAATTTCACTTTTTCAAATATCAACTAAGATATTTTCTTCTCTATCTTTCTTACAAGTTTTCTAGTTTCCTATTTTTATTTCTTGTTATATCTTTTTCCACAAGCTCTATCTTTTTTCTTAAGCCTATAAAGTTGATTTTAACAGCTATTTTTTAGCAAATTTCTAAAATATTTTTCTACAGTTTTTGTATACAAGTAATCAGCAGAAAAAGTTTTCTGTTTTTTTTTTTGATAACTTATTTTTTAATTTATTCTAATTTATTTATAGTTTAGATATGATCAAAAAATTTTTTTTAACAAATAGCAACCTTTTATTGTAATACATCTTATTTAACATATTTGATGCATCTATCAGTACCCAATCTTGAGAAATATATAATAATCAATTTATAACACATGAATCTTAGTATAAGCAATTTTTAGTATAAGCTGCCACATTTTTTATATAAATGTTCTTTTTTTTTGTTCTAATTTAATTTTTTTATATGCTTTTTTAGCTTTCTAATAAGCTTATTTCTGGGCTACTGCTTTTTTTTGCATTACACTTTCTAACTTCTTTTTTACTAACTTATTTATTTTTTAATTATTGTAAACTTTTTTCATTAGTAAGAAGTTAAGTAAATATAAAGTTTTTTCTTTTTTTTAGCTAAACAAATCTTGATTTAACTTGTATTAGAACTCTTAAAAAGGATATTTAAGAGATATTTTTTTTTTGCTTTTACTAAAGCTGTGATTATTAGTAGCTATTGCCTTTATTGTATTTTTAATTATAATTACATAACTTGTACAAAATAAATATACAACTAGATATATGTATAATTTTTGGTTGTCTATTTTAAGTAGTCTATTCACATAGCAGGTTTTACACTAGCTGCTATATCTGCAATTTACTAGAAGATTATTTATTTAAATACTTTGATCTCTATACTTATACCAACAAATAGCATACAAGTTCCTATACACCTAAGTGCTATCTAACCTAATCTTAACCTTCCTTTTTGTATATCTATTAAGCCATTACAAATTTTAAAGTATGTTACCTGACTATAAGACTTCAAAAAGCTCTCTTGCTAACTAACTACTCATATTTAATCTTTTTGTTAATAGGACTTACTTTTGCAGAGTTTATTTAAACCCTAGCACTGACTTCACAGTATATTTCTAGTACTTATAGTATACCTTTGCTTCTGATCTTAGACTTTCAATTAAAATAGCTTAGAAGAACTATGACCTGTCTCTGGTACCTTAAAGTTTGCTTCACAAAGTTCTTTTTTTTCAGTTTAAAACTTCTAGCAGTCTGGTTGATAGTACTTCTTATCTGAAATTTTTGTCTATCTAATTTCTTTTATATTGATATCTGTTTCCTAGGTCTAGTCTTTACAGTAGTACTGTTTAAGATCTGTGCTATCTCTCTACTCAGATCTTTTCAAGTAGGCTTTGGCTTTTCTGTTCTACAGATTTATATAACCACAAGAATTTATTTTAGATTTGCACTACCTAATGCCAGTTTGCATTTCTCTGTATAACTTCAATATTGTGCAGATGCCTTATGACCTGCCAGTTATGCTAGTGTGATTGTAGTTATAGATATCTTATTCCAACTGATTAACAGAATGCTATTACTATAATACTATCTATATATTATATAGGCAATTATCTAAATTTTTACTATTAGTAAGTTTTGAACTTACTACCTATTACTTGGGGAATTAACAACTTATTTACTTCACTAAGTTATTACATCTCTTTAAGAGACATTTTTAATAAACAAGTATCAGAATTTTTAAATGTTTTAAGTTTCTTTTGTATTAATTAGTAAGATTGTTTTATAATAGTATATTCTTTTTTTAAAGAATCAATTTTTTTAAAAGTTTGTTTACATTAACAATGCTAACCCAAGCAGAATTATTTGGATAAAATAAAATATTAGAATAATTATTTAGTTAAAAGAATAATATAGTATTTAGTAAAGACAGCTTTTGTTTAATTTGTACAAATAAAGATAAATTATCAATTTGTTTAACTTGTGCAAATAAAGATAAATTATCAATTTGTTTAATTCACACAAATGAAAATAAATTAATAATTTGTTTAGTTAATAGAAAAGGACCAAAATGATATAAGTTTATAATATTAGAGTTAAAAAAACCAAATTTCTATAACTCTATAAGCATTAGTAATTACTTTAGAAGTGTAAGTCTTGATAAATGTTAGTCTAAGCATTTTTACAAATGTATATTTAGTTATTAGCTTGCTAGTTTCACTATGATGCTTATTATAATATTTATCATATTTAGCTTTAAGTTTAGCAAAGAATAGCTTAGATAGCTAAAGAATATAAATAGTATAAGGTAAAAATGCATAAAATAAAATTTTATTTTTATAACAAAAGTTAATGCTCATATAATTTATATAACTTTTATATTTATTTAATATTAAAAAAAACAAGCTAACTAGATAAAATAGAATTGATAAAGTGTTTAATATATATTTGAAAAACTTTTGCACATATATTCTGAATTAGTAAATCCTATAACAATGCCAACTAAAGCACTATTTAACAAATTTGAAATTACACAAATGCTTTTATAAATAAATAATAATAAAATGTAACTACTAGCAGCTAAAATTATTAGAATAACAGAAATGTGTTTATAGAAATTGCTATATACTATCTTATAAACTTAATAAAAAATTAGTCCTAAGGTTGCAGATGATGATCTGGTACATCAGAGATAACCAGTGATGTTAACACAGGTTACAGGTTTAGAGGGTTTAAAGTGAAACACCCAAGCAAAGGTGTTAGGTACGGCAATTGGTAGGAAACCTTTGAGTGGACTCCTTAAATAGGTAATATAGAAAAGTTACACATGTAGCCAATTGTATACTCTTCTGTAGTGGTTCATTGAACCACAATACCGATAAGTAATTAATAAAAGTCAAAAGACCAAAAAGGTCACCTTAATATCAAAAAAAAAAAACTTGATAAAAAGCTTTGGTAGCAAGAACTTTTTAAACTTTAAGAGATATTACAAATTTGGTTTTATTTATATTCTAAATTTGTTTGATAATAAGAAAACTTTTTGAATTATTTTTTGAAGCTTATCAAAATAGTTTTTTACATTAATTGAATTTGCTTTTTGTATATATGCTTTTGATAAAGCTTGAGACACATAAAATAATAGATCAAAATAGTCTTTCAAAAAGCATAATTACAGGCCTTGCTAGGTTCACTGTCTTTAAAAGAATAACTTTGATTGTTAGCATTTACAATACTCATTATGCAATAGTTTAATCCTGTTTATATAAGTTTAAATTATAATTTTTGCTTATTTTTATAATATTCAACTAATTGTTGTTTTTTATATTTATTTAAAACTGTTTAAAGACCAGAGCAGTTAAGCAAATTATTATTTTTTACATGCTATAAATTTGTTTTAGCAACTTTAAATTTTAATACAGTTGTTTATATACTAAATTGGTTAAGACTATTAAGTACTTCAAAAGCTAATTTAATAGATTTTGTATATGTAGTTTAGTTTTTTTAAAGTTTGAATTTGTTAATAATAAATTTTTTATAATTTTGGACTTAAATAAAATTTTAAAACTTATTTTGTTTTTTTTTAAAAAAAAAATTTATTTTATTTTATTATTCTTTTTTCTTTTTAAAAAAAATGATTTTATTTTTTTTAATTAATAATTTATATAATTTTTATACTGCACCTATAACTATGATTATAATTATTCAAGAGATATTATTTTATTGTCTTAATTATGATTATAATTGTTTTTTATATAGCAGCTTTTGTATGCAATTATTATTGTGATTAAAACAAAAATAATTTCCTTAATATTATGATTCTTTGTATATAATAATAATCATAATTATTTTAACTTTTTGTATAAAATTATAATTATAATAGTTTTTTTTATAATTAAGTTGTTAACAAATAAAACTAGACTATATACAACAACAATAATATTAGTTTTTTTAGACAATTAGTTATTTAACAAATAAATTCTTAATTAAAGCCAAATCTAACTAAATTTATGTAGTATATAATTAAATAAAGATAAAAATATTTCTTACAAAAAAAATTCAAAAAAAGTTGTTATATATTAAAAATATAATACTCTCCTGATCCATATTATAAAGAAATTAATAATGTTGTCTTAATTTTTTATAATAATTTAATTAACATTATCTATGATCTTAGTGAATTTAAAAATTAAATAAAATTTATATTTTTATCTTTTTACAAGTAGTTAATTGATATTATAAAATACTTTTTAAAATTAATTATCACAAACAAAAAGATTAAACCAACTAATAATATCATTTATATAGTTGTGAACTTAATTAAATTAAATTGTTATTTATTTTTTTTGATGATCTTATATATACTATAATTATGAACTTCTCACTAAGATAAAATATATTTTCAAAAAATATAAAAGATTTAAAAAAGCAGAAAGTGATGATAGCATTTTTAATATAGAATATAGATATAAGTATACTCTTAAAGAGTTAAAGATATGAAAATTTGCTGATCTATTTTGTAATAGAGAAGAATATAATTTTAGTTTTCAAAAATTTTATTATAATTATTATTCTTTATATAGTAAAGAGAAGTTAAGTTTATATTATAATAATTTTTACTTATTTGATATAAATATATTATCAAAAAATTAAATTATATATTTTTAATTAATAAGAGAAATCATTAATGTTACATATTAATTCTTTATATGATGTAGCCAATCAATAATAAAATTATTATTATTTTTTTTTAAGCAGTCACACTAGTACTTTATTAAGATTTTTGAAACTACTACTGTAATTACATAAATTTACCTAACAACTAAGCCTAGCATTATCTAACTACCCTAATAACACCTAAGTGCAACCTGTTGCATTACTTCTAGCAAAAGTAAGCTGCTTATTTAACTACTTAAAGTCTGTAATAAAAGGGTCTTTCTTCTTCTATAACAAGTTTGTTAATTGTCTTTTTAACTTCTTTCTTTATTTACTTTTCTTTTTCTTTTGTTTTTTTTTTCCTTTCTTCTGTTGCTTGCTAACTAGCCTTTCCTTTTTCCTTTCTTTCAGTTTTCTTTTTTCTCTCTACTCATTATTTCTCTTTCTTTTTCTTATATATTGACCTTTTTGCAATAGATTCTTCAGACTTGTTTATAGAATATGTTTTATGTTGTTTCTGCTACAATATTCATAAACTGTTGTCTTGTTTTTGTATTTAAAATTTGAAATAATCTGTCTAAAGTTGACTTTGAAATTAGATCTTTGATCAGTACTTTCTTTATTTCTATTTCATTTTACTCTGTTTATTCAAAAAGTGCTATATATAATATATGAGATAGAACTTATATTTTTTCTTCTTCTTTTAAACTTTTCTATGCTGTTGCAATAAAAACTTTCTGTATCCTTTTTCATAAATTTGCTTGTTCCTTATATAATACCAAATATTCTTATATTTCTTTTATTCTGTTTTGGCAAACTTGGCATTCTGCTATTGTATATATATCTGATCTTCTTCTATTAAGTTCTTCCAATAGTAAAAGTTTGTTCAACATATATTTTATAAAAGCACTTCTTCTTGTACTGCTTCTTCTTGTCAAATAGTATACTTCTTTAGATGACTTTAGCCTTCTTCAAAAGTATATTCAATCATAAGCCATTACTTCTGCTTCTGGTTCTATATTCTTGATCACTCTTGTTTTCTTTTACTTTGCTCCCAGTCTGGCATTTGTTACTATTTTACATAGAAGTTTTGCTAGTATATCTATTCACTTGTTTTCCTACTTTAGGCAGTATTCTATCTCTTCATGACTGACTTCTTCTAAAAAAATTAATTTTCTACTTAATGTTTTCTTCTTTGCAAGGCTATCAGCTTTATCATTCTATTTATTTCTACTATGACTTTTCACTTTGACCTACTCTATCTGTATATTCTTTGTTCTAATTATATTTATTATTTTTAATATCTATAGTATATTTTTTTTCTTAAGAACTTCATTTCTATTTATATATACTAAGCCTTTACCAATGTTCCTAATTGCTGCATTGCTATCTATAAATATTTCTAATTTTTTTTTTAATATTGTTAAGATTGCTGCCTATATTGCTAGCACCTCAGCTGTAATAAATGTAGGCCATCTTTTTACTTCTAATACTATCTCCTCTTCTGACCAATTTTGTGCTTTAACTATTTGTACCCAACCTATATTCATATTTTTATCTATTGTTTCTTTTTTGTTTCTTTTATTTGCTGTACTGTCTGTATATATTGTGTATTTGTTTTTGTTTCTTAATATATTTCTTCTCAAGAACTCTACTAGCTCTTGACTAATATTCTTTCTTACTTTTTGTTTTTTAATTAATTCTATTTCTAAGCCTTTTAATGTCTTTAGTCCTATTAGCTTCTGTTCATTTTTTCTCAGTTTCAATGTTCTCATATATCTTATTAATTAGTTAGTAGCTGCCTTAATTATATTATTGTTTCTTTCTATTAGCATATCTAGAACTGTGTTTATTTTGTTATTGATTCTTATTCAATATTGACAGCTATTTTCTTCTGTTTCTTCTTCTCTCAAACACTTATTGCATTTATTGATTTTTGTTATTAAGTTACTTTCTATGTTATGCATTTGCCAATGTTCTACTAATAGCTTCTTCTTTTTCTTTTTAACTATTTTCCTCACTTGTCTATTCTTTGTTGCATTATGTATTATTCATTCTTTTTTCCTTCTGTCATTTAACAGAATTTTCATTTAATCTTTATTGGCTATGTATTACATCTGTTTGTTTTGAACTATTCTTTAACTTCTCTGCTTTTGATTTTGTTGGGCACTTTTGTCTCTATTGTTTTAACTACTCTGTCTTTTTGATTTTGCTTGATTGATTCTGGTAAGCCTTGAATTGCTGTCATATTATTAGTCTTTCATCTCTTATATCAAGTAGTTGATTTAGGTATATTAGTTCTGCTTCACTTATTTTGGGTTTGTTTTTTTTTTATAGTCATGGTTCTACTAGTTTAATTATTTTAAAACTATAGCCATTTGTTGTTTATAGTTTGCTTTCTATATTTATATTTATTTCTAACTCTTTTGCTTTAGTTATTGTTAAACAGACTAGATTGTTCTTTTAATATAACTTGTTTTCTGATAATTTTTTTACTTTCTATATGTCTTTTATTAAACTTGATCTTTGACAACTCTATGTTGTTCTCAATTTTGTTAGCTGCCCTAGTTTATCTTTTCTGTTTAGTCTTGCTATTAAGCCTCTTATTTGTTTTATTATTAGTTTTTGTTACAAAGTTCTGCAACTACCAAGATCTTTATATTCTATTATACAGTTTTTTAGTGTTCTCAGTAAGTTACTTTTTTGTTTTGTCAAACATATCATTAGTTGGCATATTTCATTTATTTCTTTTTTTGATATCTTTGTTAATTGCAACATGTAGCTTAATTTTGGTATTATTATCATATTGTTTATATATACTATTTGGCTTATTGTTATTTTTTTATATTTAAGGTCTCTTATTGTCTAGCTTATTATCTCTTTTGCTTTTTTCTTTACTAAGACTTCTTGCATTTTGTTGTTTAGCCAAATTCCTAATAAACATATTATTTTGTTTTTTGGCTTTTCTGTTATCTTGTTTTCTCTGAAATTTATTTTTCTTTCTTCTTTTTTAACTTTTCTGTTCATTATTATTAGTTTTAATTTAGATCTATTTATCTCAATATTATTTATTTTAAAGAAATCTTCTGTCACTTTTAAGATCTCTATCAGTTATTACAATCATATACACTCTGTAATACTTATATATTTATTCTGTCTATATTTGTACCTGTTTGTTTGTTTGTTTTTTTATATGCTCACATGTTCCAAACAGATCTGCAATTCTAGGTCTAAGCTATTTCCTTAAAATTTTATTTTTTGAGGCTTATTTGGCAAGTTTGTTTTTTTTTTCTTGCTTCTTAACTTATTTTCTTCTATTGCTTTACTTGTTAGGTCTATTTCAAAAGTTCTTTCTTTTTTGTTAAGTCTTTAAACACAGTTTTGATAATAGTTTTTCTGTTAGTCTTGATTTTTGTTTCTGCAGATTTTGTGTTTTGGTAATTAGTAAAAAAAGTTGATATGCTATTTGATAAAATTATTTATTTTGAGTTTATTCTAAAATGCATATTATAAATATAATTTTTCACTTTGTTATTCATATAAAGTAATTAGTAAAACTAAAATTATTTATATATAACTTCAAG